AGGAATGACTGTAAATTCACGTCTGCTATTTGGTGATATATTGAGTCATTTTTGCCTCTCTTGTCTTCATAGGAATCTATAAGATGGTTAGAAGATGAAAAAGCCCTTCTAGAGATGACTGAAGAAGTAGACTATGATGTGGATTCCTATGCTACACAACTTGAAGCAATTCTAGAACAAAAAATTGACATTCTGACTGAACTCCGAGGTAGACTGGTTTTGGTCATTTGTGTGTGTTACTGGTGATTTGTTTTTATGCATCAAGGGAATATCTTTAAAAATGAGCAGCAACTTTAACACTGTCTTGTCTCTCTTCGTCCATCTTGTAACCCAGATTCCATGTGGAAAACAGTACCACTCCCTTTCCTAAGAGCAAAGGTGCACATACATTCAGTCTATATCAGTATAAGGGGAAAAAACTTCCACTTTGCCTCATTTGTTCTGAGAGGTGTAATTTTTCATAGGTGACAGCTGCTTATGCCTCTGTGGAACAGGTAGTCTCTAAGGTGCCACTGTGCCCTGCTTGTTTTCCTGATGATCAGACTAATGCAGCTAACTGCCTCTTTCTCCTTTGTTCTGGAAGGATGGAGCTATTATGCCTGGTCCTCTAGCTTCTCTTCTCTTACAGTTTCTGCAAAAGAACAAGGTTACTAGGGTTGGAGTGGTATAGTTGTTATAGTCCTGGGAATGTTCAAGAAGTAAAGGGTTATTTTGGTAATATTTTTTTTCTTGGACCACCTGTATTGCAGGGAGAGATGTCAGATAAGTTTGCAGGTGCAGAGATTTGAGGGGGAAAAAACAGGTACAGCCAGATGCTATCCTGGAAACTAAACACCCACCATGCTTGAGAATGAACTCACAGAAGACTGATAAAAGACAGAAGCACCCAATCATCAGCAGAAGACCACTTTACAGAACAGCCACTCCATTTTTGATCTTATCCTCCTTGTACTCAAGGAAACCTCCAAAACATGCCCCAGAAGGCCTGAGGACAAACATACATAACTGGCTGGACACTAAAAGCTAGGGACAGTGATTTTATGGCTCATTACAGTTTACCTGATGCCTACCCTGTCCTCTGCAAGTTTACAGCCCTCTTCTATTTAAGTGGCTGTTTCAGGTACATAAGGGGTTTAAGCAGAAGTTGGTTTATGTAATATTTAGCTTAGGCAGGTTCTGCTTCTTTCCC